CCAATCATGTGGGAGACTCCGCATGCAGAAGAAGCCTCCTCCTTCAGGCAGTCCCTCTCCTAGTAGAGAGAAAGCAACAGGCATGGGGCCATGGTTAGAACCCTCTTGCTGTTCATGCTTTTGAATGCAGGCAAAGACTCATAAAGGCTGACTCAAAACATGTGGGTACCCAATGCAGCAAAATAAGCAAGCAAGCAAACAAACTAAAACCACAGTCAAGGAGTTATTATACAGTAAATCAGCAACTTGCTGACTTTTAAAAACAGTTCTCAAATTCTACTGCCTCAAAATCAAAGGAGACAAGCAAATAACCCTGCACCATACATTTGGTACCACTTAACCACCAGGACTCTGTCTTAAGGAGCACTTGGATTCCATGAGATGCAAGTGAACCCTAGCAGAAATCGTCGGCAGGAGATTCTAAGCATTTCACCAATCTCAAAGCGTAGGCTCCTATAGGATGAAGCCATGGCTACACTCCATGAATGCATAATGTCTAGCTTTCAGAGGCTTCATACTCACAAGGAAACATGCATGCCCCGCCCATCAATGTAAGTAGTTATAGTTCAATATCATGTAGGGGTAAAGGTCAGTCAGTCCCCTATTACAGTGGCCCCCAACCTTGGGCCTCCAGATGTTCTTGGACTTCAGATCGCAGAAATCCTGGCTGGCAGATGTGGTGGTGAAGGCTTCTGGGAGTGGCAGTCTAAGAACATCTGGAGGCCCAAGGTTGGGGACCACTGCCCTGTGAGACAAAGGAAATGCTGTTGTGTTGTGGTTGTTGGACTACAATTTCCAGAAGAGCAATAGCACTGGCTGGCATATAATGGGAGTTGTACTGTAGTCCAAAAAGGTAATGTTTCCCATTTCCCCCCAAAACATATAGCAGCTTTTTTTAAAATGAAGAGAAAGAAAATTTAATTTATCCCAATATCCTTTAAAAATCTTCTCAGGAGGTGGAGGTGGCTGCCTGAATTTCATTTTTAAAATACTTGCTAGAAGAGGAAGTTTAACCCTCTCCTCACAGTTGGATCCATTTTGGATTGGAAGTTTATATCATCTAGTCTGACTTTTGTTTTGTCTGACAGAAGAGTCAATCCTGAGGAAAATTAAACCTCTCATTAATACAGTGAATGCAGTTTATGAATTACAGGAAGTCCTCCCACTGCTTTTTCTGAGTCTATTCCCGAAGGAAAAGAGAAAAAATGAAATTATTTATCTCTTCCTCTTCTAGAAAGAACCTGCTTTGGGGGTTGGTTGGGTGTGAAATGGAAGGGCTTTTCATCTTAATCTTGAGTGGCTGAATGAATGTGAAACTGAAGTCATAGAAATGGGTTTGAACTTTTTTCCTTTGCTGTCTATCATTTCCTCAACACCACCTCTTTTTCTGAAGAAAGAGAACTATGTTTCAGAAAATTGTTGATGAATCCAAAACCTATGACACCCCCAGAGAGTGGGTGGAATATTTATCTCTGGATGCAACACGAAAAGAGATAATAATGTAAGTCAATTTCCCCCCAACCCCCCCCCATTTATCCTGAATGAAGTGCATATGGTTGACAAGCAAAAATTGTACTGTATACCCTTCTTGCATGAAACAATTGCACCAAGACAAGCAATTCAGTAATGTTCTGGGCAGCTAGACAGTCCTAGAGTTACCACATGTTTCATATTAAAGCACACTCTGTAGCAAAAGGGACCTTTCTGCTTTAACAGACCCAGAAGAGATCATGTTCAAAGGAAAAATTGCACACAAACACTAGTAATATATAGTAATTCCAGTGAATACCTCGGTTAGACTCAAGTCTTGAGGAGAGAAAGCAGCACTTTATAACCATTTAGCTAATGTTCTAGTTAAATGACAGAGTGGCATGTCCTCTGTAGTCCATCTTATATATTTAAGTATAAGCATGAAAGCGTACATGGCTACTAAATCTTTTCTAAGAACGATAAACCCAGGATTAAGAAGACCTGCACACAAGGGCAAAAGAAACAACCATATTATCTGATTACACGATGGAGCACGAGATCCAGTTCTGACTAAATAAAATTTTATTCAGTTGAATTCTAACCAGACAAAATTTCATTTAATTCAGAGTAAAATAAGCCACCTGATTAAGAACTCTGGCATGCAGCCACACGACTGACTGTGCTGCTGTTTCCAATTATATCCAAGATATTCACCTTAACTCCCTCATATTCCCACTGTTTTCCCCAAACAGCTAGCATGGCAAAATTCCTTGTTATTTCTCAAATTGTTTCTATTTTGGCAAATCTGTCCTTGAAAATTTTAATTAGGGTGTGGCTACAGAGCGGGGGGGGGAATGCAAATAGATTCTCTGTGAAGTCACACTCAGAAACTCAGGTTTCTCCGGGTTAATTCACTTCAGCCAATCACATAGGAGTCAGCACCAAGAAAGGAGGAAATCAATCTTGTTTGCAGCTTGTTAATCATTTTAATCTTTTTTCCCCCTGCTAATTGGCCAAAGACAGGGGAAGGAGAGAGGCAGAAAAGCAAGGAATCAGCAGAAAGACAGGAGGAATTTTTTAAAACTTTAGTCTTGTTTCCCGCTTGTTAAGAAAAAGAAAACCCAGAGCTACTTGGCAAAGAGTGAGGAGGAAGTTTTAAGGTCACTCTGTTATGACCATCAAGGCCTATGGGGGGCACAGTTTATAGAGAAGAGCTACCTCAAAACTCCCTCCTCTCTCTCTGCCAAGCCCTCATTCTTTTCCCCCCTCTGTGCTTACCTAGTAGCATCAAATTTGCAAGCGAAAGAAAGACAGACAGACAGACCAGAGCAGACCCAGGCATCAGATGTGGCTAGGAGAGGATTCAAACAGTAGCATTTCCCACTGACCTGCCTCTCTCACTGCTGCTGTAGTGAGCTGGAAAGGTTCAGATACAGTAGCTGTAAAACCTTCCTCTTCATTTCATGCAATCACACTGCCTAAACTGATGCAAATGCATTCAGTTCCAAAAAAGTGAAGACCCAGTGGCAGAGGGGAAAAAAATTAGATTAGAGGAGTAAAACCTCTGGGTTTATTCACATCAATTTTCACATTCAGTTCCAAAAAAGTGAAGATCCAGTGGCAGAGGAAAAAATATGGATTAGAAGAGGAAAACCTCTGGGTTTATTCACATCAATTTTTATATCATAAAATCAATGGGAAATAATGTGAATCAGACTGTCCCAGCACTGGAACATTTCCCGCATGACTTGTCAATGTCGTCTCACTTCTAGTTTGAAAAACAGCAGTTAGTTTGGTGGCTGGGGCTGGGTAAATGATACCTCTTTAAAGAATTTTAAGACACAATTCTCGAAACAAACTCCGATTCGCTTTTTATTTCTATAATTTTCCCTTTTACTACAGGGCTATGATGATGACTGCCTGTGACTTATCTGCTATCACAAAACCCTGGGAAGTGCAGAGTAAGGTCAGGTGACTGACAAATACTTTCCATTCTTTAATAATTAACAGTAAAATGCATAATTCTATTGGCTCCACAGATATATAATGGTGCTTTACCAAAAAAACAGAAGTCTGCCCTAACTAGCTTATTATCTAAACTAGCGGTTCCCAACTTTGGGTCCCCAAATGTTCCTAGACTACAGCTCCCAGAAGCCCTCTCACTACTACCTGTGCTGGCCAGGATTTCTGGGAGTTGTAATCCAAGAACATCTGGGGACCCTAGGTTGGGAAACCACTGATCTAAGGACTGGGAAGCAACCATTGGCTGAAATCCTGTTCACACAGCTACATCACATAAGTCTGATGATGTCATAAGCCATGGTGATTTATGGGAAATAAAAAAAAATTCCAGCCTCTCTTCAAAATTCCTAAGGCTCCCATGGAATTTCCTTTATTGGAGGGAAGCCGTTGGAAGTACAGTAACAGGATGAGAGTGGGGAGTCTTTAATTTCCAAAAAGCATTTTTTTTTCATAATGAAGGGGATTGTACAGAAACCTGAGGATCTTCAGATTCTGGGGATGTGCAAAAACTTTTATTTCTGATAAATCTCAGTGGCTGATGGCATAATGTTACTCAGTGTGAGTTATGGAGCAGGATTTCAGCCATTGTGTTGTTTTGCTTTTACCTCAGCTTGGTTCTAGTTATCGCACTCACCTTGTCTTAGACAGATCTTACATATATTAGTTTTTACTATCATATAACATACAGAAGAAAGGCAGACTGTAACATTTTATTTGCCTATATGTTCAGCATAACAAGCATTAAAAAGTATTGAGAGCAATTCTACCTAGTTTTTCTAGTAGCAAAACACGCATAAGAAGATTTCTGCCATGAATCTGTAGCGCTGTTGTAGGTGTTTTAACAGTCCCATTGAATTTGGGGTTGCTGCCCTTTCTGTAAAAGGGACAGTGTTCTTGGGAAGAAATGTCACTGAAACATGCCCTAACACAAGAGTGAGCATTGATAATGACAAGGGACCTTCTGGTCCAATACTGAAGCTGCTAAAAATGAAGATGATAAAAAAGGATTTGTGTTTATTCTTCTTGGTTACAGGTGGCACTACTTGTAGCAGCTGAATTCTGGGAACAGGGGGACCTGGAAATTTCGGTACTTCAGCAACAGCCTATTGTAAGTTTTCTGCGAGAAGTGGGAATGGAGCTGAGGCACTGAGTCTCCTGCCTTGCTTCCAAGGCATTTCTTACATTTCTAGGAAGGTCAAGCCTGTTTTGTGGCCTTCCATCCCTTCCAGAATTGCCCTCTGCAGTGAGAAAAGTTACTTTAAAAAAGCAGACATCAGGTAATGTATAGCGGCTTTGGGCAAGGCCTAACCACCACACTAGAAGAAGGGAGGCAGAAAGGGAATCTTGACTGGGCCCTTCAACATGGAGCGCTTGCTTGTTTTTCTCTTGGAGCTGTGGAAGGCTGGGTGAAGAAAAAGAGAGGGATTCCTTCCGTTGCATTATAACAAGATTTTCCTCACTTTGATGGGCTGAGCAGCAGGATGAGAGGGAGACTAGTGCTGAGTTATTATGAGGATACATTGTGTTCCTGTCTGTGGATACCTCTTAAAGAATAGTAAGCAGAACGGACAGCTCTGCCACAGTATCACTGTATACCATGGCCCAGACAACTTAATCAAGATTACCTAAGATTTGTTTTTAGGAGCCCTTTCTAAAACATCTACCTCTTCCCCTACAGTCTTTGCAATTAAAACCTGCTTTCTTTGTCCCACCCAAGAGGGGCTGAAGTGAGAATAAGTTGTCCTGGTTCTTTTTCTTAGCCACAGTAAAGCATGACAAAGAGACTATGTATGTTACTTCAGAAAGTTACTTCTTTTTTTTCTCCTAGCCTATGATGGACAGAAGGAAAGCAGCTGAGCTTCCAAAACTTCAGGTTGGCTTCATTGACTTTGTGTGCACATTTGTATATAAGGTAAGCATTTAACACCCAGGATCCATTAGGATGGTGAGCTCTGTAGTTTCAGCCAAAATAAAGCTATTTGCTCTGAAGAAACTGGTAGGCAATATTGTAGAAGCACTGTATAGCTTAGGAAATCAAGGTTGCTTCTAACCAGCCATTTCTTTATAAATGTACACCTGTGGTACTCTTTCTTGAAAAGAATCCCGAAGAGATTGTTACCGAATTGTTACATTCCCTTGTTTTCTGTGGCGTCTTGCTCCACATTGGCAAGATTGATGTGTGGTAGTTTGTGTGTGTGTGTGTGCACGCTCACATGTTGTTTTGTGCAAACCAACTGCAAAGTAGTACCAAGGCATTAAGTGACTGATGGTTGTTGTGGGTTTTTCGGGCTCTTTGGTGAAACCCACAACGACCATTAGATTCCGGCCATGAAAGTCTTCGCGAATACATTAAGTGACTATTGTTGCTGGAAGTGGAAAGATTACATCTTTGCCGTTTTCTGCCCATTACTGGTTCAATTCAGTATAGCTGGGAGCTCTTAGTGATAAAGTTACTGAACATTAGTCCATTTTTGTGTTTCGCAAAGTTGTCCTACGCTAATTCTCCAAATCAGGCAAACTAATCTGGATGCTATGCAGATAGTCTGCTAATTCTGTCAACTAAACACATTGTTTTATTTCCTACTTCATACTCCTTTTTTTCTGCTTTCAACAACATCTCAAAAAAGCTCCCCCCCAAAAAATTATGCTCACTTCCTATGTTTTTCCATTGTTTTTATTTGTTTATTATTATTATTTCTGTGGAGTTTAAAAGCAGAGATGCCGGGTGGGCTACCTGTCAGTTTAGCTATGGATTTCCTGCATTGGCAAGTAGCTGGATTCGATGATCCTTAGTATCTCTTCCAACTCTACCATGCTATGGTCTATGATTTCAAATATAAGTTTTTATGTAGAATCCTTGATGCTTTCTAAATGGATGGATGAGTGGCAGAGCTTTCTCTTTGAACACACCCTCTTGCTTTTCCTGTTTTCTGCAAATCATGCTGGAATAAGTAAATAAAAATCCCCTTTCATGGCATTGGTCACCACAAAGACTTCTACTGTACCGGCAGCTGTCTTTCTGGTCATAGAGGAGCCTGCATTAATGGGGTGCCTGATCTCAGAATAGGATGATTGTTTGGAGGATGGAAACCCAGAGGCTCTCCATTGATCAGTGGAGTCTGCTTGAGGGCAGAGGGCACAAATAGAGGAGAAGTAGGAGGCATTCATCTCAGATCTTCTTGTGGAAGTATCTAGATATTTGGTGATCAGGAAGGAAATCCAGAGAATGGGAACAGTTAATGGTGGAGTGTAGCGTTTACCCTGTGGTCCCTGCTTGTTTCCCCAAACACAGAGCTCACATGAGTATCTCAACACGCCCTTTAACTCGCTGCCACCAGTTGATCTCTTTATCAGCCTATATTTCCTATGAAAGACTGAGGTCCATTCAGTACTGAACTTAGAAACAGGTTTATTGATTACACGTTGTTTTAGAAATAGTTCTTAAGCACATTCTTAAAGTTACCCCAAGCTTCAGTATTTTACTTTAACCTCTTCTATCTGAATTAATACAGGTCACACTCTGACTAATCACTCCTTCAACACTCTCTCTGCCTCAAACCCCCAAAACTTTTTTTCTTCTCTGTCTCTCTGACTGAACTCTCTAGACTCTGACTCACCCCTCCCTTCTAGTTTCTCTACCTCGGCCTCCCAACTGCTCTCATTGATACATGCCAATAATCTTGTACCTGAGCCAAAGCAGGGTGATCGCTACATACCTCCCCCCTTTAAAAAGTTTGTTTTATGAGGGGAAAACTTATCAGTTTGCCCTCTTAAACAAACAAGACATTTAATACATTTATTAACATTCTTACCACACTTACAACTATACATACTTGCCATATGGGCTTTTATCAAGTAATACATTTACTATTTAAACTTACCACCTTATCCAGTCCTGGAAACCATACATTCATAATCATTTTCCTCTATATTAACTCAAACATTACCAAAAAAATCCATAAACATTTACATTTAATCACTGGGTCTTCTGGATAAAGCGTCCGCTACCACATTTGAAGTTCCTTTGATGTTTTTAATTTCAAAGTCATAACCTTGGAGAATCAAGGACCACCTAGTCAGTTTGCTTCTGTTTGTTTGCAAAGTTCTCAACCATTTCAAAGGAGAGTGGGCAGTGCATAGGATAAACTTTCTTCTCCATCTGTATAGCTTACGTTTCTTCCAGGTCCATACGATAGACAGGTATGCCCTCTCAATGGCAGACAAATGTCTCTCACGAGGTTGAAGTCCTCTGGTGGTAAAAGTCACTGGGCGTAGAGTCTCACTGTCATCCACTTGGCACAGTCCAGCTCCAAATCTGATGCTCAATGCACTCACATAGCTGAGGAATTCCCGATTTGAGTTCGGTGCAACAAAGACTGGTTTTGAAGTCTGCACTATCTTCCAATGATCGACAGTCACCTGCCACTCTGCTGCCCACTGGATTTCCTTTGCTCGCCTTTTCCGAGTGAAGCCTGCTTTCTTTCTGGCTCGTGGCTTCACTTTCTCAGCTGGGGAAAGGGTAGGCAGTTTCATCCCCTTCTCCAGAACATCTATGGCTGCGTCCTTCTTCGAGATATTATTGCTCAGGCTTTCACTCTCACCCACAAACTCACCCACAGGAACTTTAGTCGCACTAAATGAGAAAACACTATCAAGGGTCACTTTAAGATTCACCGACAAATTTCTTTTAGGTGAAATCTCAAGCACTTGGTTTATGTCAAAGGTGTCAAGACTTTCATAATCTGGTTCTATCCTTTTAATTGCTAGTTTCTCCTGTAGGGGTTTGCCTTGCAAGATTTTCAGTGCCTTTGCAGCTGCATGGCCAGCCTTCCCAGTACTAGTCCCTTCAGCTTTCCAGTACTGTTGTGACACAGCTGCAGGTCCTGACAATGCTAACTGCAATTCACTCCCCTCTATTGGTCTCAGCATCCCCACTATGTCCTCAGGACAGAATGCTCTTTCCCGGGCCTTTTCATCACACCAGCCCCTCTGCTATTCATGAGCACTCCTCCAGCTTTGCCCTTCTATCTCTGCTGACCTACGCATTGGTAAGGGGTCAAGATCCCTGGCAATGAGCATAGCTTAGCCCTTGTTTTTTCATCCCCAGTACCACTCACCTGGCACAAATCACATCTCTGACAAAACCACTTAACTTGCTGACCCATTCCTGGCCAGTAAAAGTTCATTGCAACCCTTTGTTTGGTATGCAATATCCCCATGTGAGTTCCAAAAGCATCACTATGCACCTTGCTTAAGATCTTGCCTCTATATTTTTCAGGCACAATCAGTTTTTCAAGGTTTCGATCTCCAGCCCTTTGAGGTGCTAACAAAACTTCCCTATAAAACAGATTGTTGTCTGTTATATATCTCTCTGGGCATTCAGGTGTTAATGAAGAGGGAGTTCCCTTAGCTTTCTCAAAGCACTGCAAAAGGGTGGTATCCTCCTGTTCCTTAACAAATGATGAATTATTGGGGTTTTTCATAAATATAACTTTTACCATTTCATCCACATCAGAGTTTTCCTTTAAACTGGGGCCTTCCAAGTTACTTTCAGGAGTCAGGGATTCCCTTTTCCCCTCAGAGATTGTTAACTGCTCTCCTTGGGAACGTGTTACTACAAAAGCACTCTGCACATGCTTAGTAAGATCTAATCCAATCAAACAAGATGTGTGTATTTGATCAGAAATTGCTACATTCCAATTTCCAACCCAGTCTCTATAGTTTATCTTTACTTTAGCCATAGGTAAAATCACTGGCATAGAACTTATTCCCTTGATTGTAACAGTTTGATTTGGAAGTATTTGTTCTTTAGGAACCACATCAGGGTGACACAGGGTTATGTGGAAACAGGTATCTACAATTCCAACATAAGATGTCTCATTAATA